TTACCGTTGCATTAAAATACTGAACAGTTGAACATTTTATTCATTATTTTAAAAAAACTGCCGAGGTGTTGGAAGGCGACGATCCCGGGGGCGGGACATTTGCCCTCTTTCTTCGTCCCCACCCCAGGGCATTTAGACAGCTTATGTGTCCCCACCCCGGGGAATTTGCCCATTTATTAAAAAAAATGCTAATGCCCGGGGGTTAGCCCGGGGGGAGGGGGAGGGGGAGATGGGCACTGCTGGAATTGACTGACGCATTATTTTAAAGCATGTCCCTCACATGATTGCTCTCATGACAACCCGACAACCCGTTGTGTCAGGTTGTTTTTGATGTAGTATTTTTAGTCATGTTTAGTCATGTGGCGGATTTTTCTCGTGTTTCTCCCTCTGCATGCCCCGCTAATCCGCCTGTTCTGCAGGCTACCCCACATTTCATCAGTAACTTAATAACTTTTTACATATTTCGCTGTGTTGTGATTCTGCTACATTTGATTTTATTCAACCTGCCGCAGTCGTGGCCAGATTAATCCAACATAGGTGTTTGTTTTAATAATCTCACATTATCGGCAAGTAACCGAGAATTCAAGCGGAGCTCGCGTTAAGAGTTGGCCTTATTTTTGGTCATGTTGTTAAAGCACATGCCTTGATTGAAATATATTTTATAAGAATATCGAGGCTGAAATTTGCAAAATTTTAAGAATATTTGTTTGAAAAGACTGATTTTGTGTGCTGAAAATTTGAAAATTTGTAAATACAATACAATTATATGTTTTTAACTAAACCGTATAAAATTCTTCCTTTCTCTAAACGGCAAAACTAGCGAATTGAAAAAAAAAAGAAAGAAAAGAAAAACAGCACAAGCCGTATGTTCGATGCTACTGACATTTCTACAAGAAGTTATGTGCGTCACATCAGAGTTTAAAGTTTCCATTGTTAGAAAATTAGATTTTTTTAATAGTCCTTTGTGATTGCAATTGTACATAATCCCTTCCTGGGACTCGGCATTGTTCTAGAGAAAGGATTACTGCGGTCTAGAAAAACAATTCTAAATTGTGTAATCATTTTTTATTCACTGATTAACTCTCTAACCGTTCATGC